ACAGTCAGCTGAAGTGGCCTGCAATACTGCACCCTAACCACTGCGCCACCTCGGCTCTTCCAAAAGAAAGGAAGAACCTCCATTTATTTGGGAAAGTTAGAAATAAACGCCCACTCTTTGCAAGGAGGATTACTAAGTATCACTGAGGAAGTCTGGTTCATTATAGGTTCATAATAATCGGTTGCGTGTTTTTGCAAAAATCAAACCAGTCCAGCCACAGTCATTGTTCATGATTTTATACTTTTTCATAGATAGGTGTTTTGATGTATGTGAATATTATGAATGAAGAAGGTAGTAATTATTTGTCAGCCTGATTTAATTAACAACCACTGTCAACACCTAAAGAAAGAATTGTACACACCTGGTTCAAAAAATACTGGGTTAATTTAGATTAACACTACAATACTCCTTCCTAGACGGCAAGCAGAAAAGAAAAGTCCATATATTCTAAGGAAAAACTTGCTAAAAAGAAGAGAAATAAGTTGATGGATCGATCAGATCGAAGTCAATTGAGAATAGTTATGGACTATTTGTAGCTCTCAAATTATGGGTAGTCCATAAGAAGTTTGGGTCATCCACAAACAAAGTATTTCCCCCTTTTGCACACCAGAAATGCTATTACAAGCCTTCTCTCTTTCACGCTTTCCTTAGTTGTAACTCACTCTAACTTTACTGATGGGTTGATGGATTCCTTCACCGCCACTAATTTCCTTCAGGGTAATGGGATAAAACTGCCCCTTGTTTAGATAAGTCATCGTATTATCTCCTGGCTTCTGCCGAAGTGATTTTGAAGCTTCCAACGTATATTCAAAGTTGTTCCTGGAAAAAAATCAGAACAGGAAGTTTTATAAACAACGTATTGCATGAAATCCATCCAAGCATAACAATCCCAATGTGCTAGATATTAAAGCTGAAGACTCAATACTGGGACCAGTGGCGGATTACGGCTCACTGGTGTCCTAAGCACTGGCAAATCTTGGTGCTCCCCCTGTTTTGTACATAGTGTTACAAATCTTCATTGATTTTTTTTTCTTTCTCAGCTTTGTGGTGCCCCTTTGGGTTTTGGTGTCCTAAGCACCAAAAATAACTCAAGTATCCTAAGCACATTCTGCTGAATGGTTAATACACCACTGAGTGGAACTGACCAAAAACGGCAGATATGTGAGAAATACAGGATTGGAAATTTAAGATGACATCACACTGGATCCTCTCTTATAATTTTAGGAACAAGGCAGAGGATTTGCAGATTTGCACTTGGGTTGACAGTAGTTTATATTTGTGTAGAGAATGAGAGAAAAAAACGCTGCCTAGAAAGTAAGGAGTAAAATAATAACTTTTATAGAATGCTTTTGAGGCACCTCGTTTTCACTGTCTGATTAAATGAAACTCTCAACTCTCCTCCAATCAGAGACGCGGTGACTAAAGTGATGAGAACAGCTCTTGAGATCCACTAATGAAGTGTTTCTCAACCTTGGCAACTTGAAGATGTCCGGACTTCAACTCCCAGAATTCCCCAGCCAGCATTCGCTGGCTGGGGAATTCTGGGAGTTGAAGTCCACAAGTCTTAAAGTTGCCAAGTTTGGGAACCACTGCCATAAGCAAAAGACGCAGGTTATTTCTGTACCTCTGGCACATCTTCTTTGAAAGACTCGGAGAAGGTGGAATCAGGAGTACGTCGCTGGGAATTTTGAGGCTGGCTGTTGGTGCTGAATTGGTCAGTGTTGAGGCTCCGGTCTAAAGCCACCACCCTCTCCGGCGCTTCCGGGTGATAGACGTTTGGAGGCATGCCCACGGTAAAATTGTGCGGCTGAGTTTCTGTCTTGATTGAATGGGTGGGCATGGATGCAATGGAGACGGTGACTGTAGTATCTGGCGTTGTCAGATGGCCCCTCTTGTCCATGCCCATTTGGGAACTGTGCGGAAGGACAATATTCAAAGGCATGTTCTTCAAGACCTGAACTCTGTTCTCCCCAGCAGAAATAAGTGACTGTTCCATCAGGTTGGGCATACTGTTCCTAAAAAAACAGGAGAACTGATTGAGTGGCAGATTAAGCATAAGGCAGAAAGAATCAATTTCAAGAGGAGAAATGCTAATGCGGAAGCCTGTTTGATGCCACTTTCCCTCCGTGAATTATTCTCCTATTGCTACCCGTGAGCAAAAAAAACTAATCCAGACAACACATTGTTGGAAGAAAGACGGTTGAGGTTTATTCGATTTATATGCCGCCCTTCTCCCAAGGACTCAGGGCGGCGTACAACATTAAAAGAAACACATACTACAAAAGTTAAAAAAGAAATTAGCAATAGCAATAGCAGTTAGACTTATATACCGCTTCATAGGGCTTTCAGCCCTCTCTAAGCGGTTTACAGAGTCAGCATATCGCCCCCAACAACAATCCAGGTCCTCATTTCACCCACCTCGGAAGGATGGAAGGCTGAGTCAACCTTGAGCCGGTGAGATTAGAACCGCCGAACTGCAGATAACAGTCAGCTGAAGTGGCCTGCAGTACTGCACCCTAACCACTGCGCCATCTCGGCTCAGGATATCCCCAAACCCAATTAAAATGAACAATGACATGTTTTTTTTAAAAAAAGAATTCAAATTAAAATTAACAATAATCAATACTTTGATTTGTTTTTGTTCAGGCCAGGCTGGCTTGCTGGAAAAGCCAACTTTTTAGGGTGCGTCGGAAGGACCGGAGGTCGGGGATGATACGAAGCTCCGGGGGCAACTCATTCAACCTCCCAAGACAATAGAAATACTAAACACTGAAGGAATATTTCTAACCCTTCCACTATTTGTTCCTCTTTTTTTTTATTTTCTTCAGACTAGAGATAAGGGGCCAAAACAGATGCATATAATCTTTCTTTCAAACTGAGCATTTTTGAATATTGGGATAAGTCCTTTGCCCTCTTTAAGTGGTGACTATCTTTCATTTCAGTTCCTGTAATCTCTCAGAAATTCCTTAGCACCATCCTACAGTTGGTATGCCTAGCTTGAGGCTTTACACTAGCAGTTGCATTCACAAAACACACATTTTCATCAGAGACCAAGTATCTCAAGTAAAGACAGTCCAACTATAAATTAAAATCCAAACAGGCAAATCTTCTAATGCTTGTATAGTCAAAGGTAGCAGGATCACATTGCATAATTAGTTATAAAAGCACCACCAGGAACTCCTCACAATTGAAAGATTCAGATTATAATAAAAAAAAAAGGTATCTAGCTATAAGAAATGGGAAACTTTTCCTCCGTAATATTTGAGTCCCCTCAAATCTGAAGCTGAGGGAGAAGTCAGCAGCAGTGGCAGATTCTTCATTTCAACTACTTTTGATGAAATCACAAAATTTTGAGTTTGTAAAGAAGAAACAATAATCATATCCCCGCCATTTTTCAAAATTAAGCTGCAGAATTTTCTATAACTCTGTAGTGATAATCTGGACAAAAATATAATGACTTTTGGGACGTGCCCAAAATGAGTTTGAATTTTCCAAGAATTTATTCTTTTTGAAATACCCAAGTTGAGTCATATGAGCCAAGCACTTTTTTATTTATGTTAATCTACCTATATTAAGCTGAGAAGAAGAGCGGAGTTACATTTGTATTATATCTCGGTATACTCAAGCTTTAAACAACTTGATAGTTTCCCTGGGTTCATATCTTGCACTAATGAAACCATAACTTGGTTAATTGGTTTTGCCATACAAGAGTGCGATTTGCTAACACAATTATTGCAGCTAACCAATTTGTATAAGCTAAGTTACTTTGATTTAATCAACAGCCGAGGTAAAAAAAATTCTGGTGTCAACTCACTATAAAGAAACCAAATCTCAGTGTAGTTAAAAATTATTCCTTTCTTTAAAAAGGATCCTGGCTTAAAACATACATATATACACATTCAAAACTGAATACTGAACCTTTTCCCATGATCTTGATCAGAGTGGTCTACATCTGGTTTCACCGTAGAAGCTTTCCTTTCCCGGGGAACCTTGAAATATAAAAGGTATCAATTACTTTATTAAAAGGACATTAACTAAGCCCAGTTTTTTTTAGGATATTAACAATGACCGGAATACAGTGTTATCACAAATACTTTTTAAAAGCATAAGTATTTGGCTTGGAGAACATCAGCTGAAAACCATCAGCCTTGTTTCAAAAGCTAACAACTTCAGAATTGCTTTATCAATCAAATAGGAGATTATGGCCATGGCGTTCTATTTTAAGTTTAACCTTTGCTTTTTAAGACATGATACAAAAATATTGTAGAAATTCTACAGTCTAAAAAAAAAAAAAAAAAGATCACAGCTTTCGTAAGCGTGAAGTAGATCATTTGTACTTTAACAACATTTTTTTTTTATTAACAAAGCAATTTGCTTGCTAGCTCAGTATCCTCCAGCATGGAAATCTGCTGTATCAGCAACACTTTTTGCATCCAAACATTTTTGTTTGCTAAACACAAACCATATAAAACGACCGTGGGAACGCCCTCTTTAAGCAGCTGACTACTTGTCAAAAAGGCAAGAATGTTGTACAAAATGGCTTTAAGCGCAACTTGGCAAATCAGAGGGGTGTGTATGTGTGCAGTCCTGCGTGAGTCAAAAAGTCCTGGAAAAATACAGATTCGACTGTAGGCAGTGCTTGTTTGCTTGTAAGTCAACCATAAGTCACCTTAGTGAGTCCTTCGGGATTGGGCGGCCTATAAATTTATTAAATACTAATACTAATACCTTGGAAGGTTATCATAGTCAGGACATAGAATTTTCAGGTTAGTCTATGTATTTCAGGAATTCTGTGTTGAAACTCCAGGTCCAATAGAGCAGGGGTCTCCAACCTGGTTCCACCACAAAACCGCGGTAGACTAAAGCGAGTAAGTGACGTCATCACAGCGTGACGAAAACAGCACGCTGTGAGCGGTAAACTTAAAATTAACGCGTAAATCTAAACCTAACCCCCCCAAACCTAACCCTAAACCTAACCCTAAGCCTAACCCTTAACCTAACCCTAAACCTAACCCTATACCTAACCCTTAACCTAACGCTAAACCTAACGCTAACCCTTAACCTAACCCTAACGCTTAACGTAACCCTAAACCTAACCCTAACCCTTAGTCTAACCCTAACCCTAACCCTAACCCTTACCTTTACGTGAATCGGCTTGCTTTAAAAGCGCTTTTTAAAGCGCCCTTTTTTCTCCGCGGTCGTATTTGTCGCGCTGCTGATGACGTCAGGTACGTGCTTTAATCGGGCGCGCTTTAGTGGACTGCGGTTTTGACGGGTCACGCTCCAACCTTGGCAACTTTAAGACTTGTGGACTTCAACACCCAGAGTTCCTCAGCCAGCAAAGCTGGCTGAGGAACTCTGGGAGTTGTAGTCCACAAGTCTTAAAGTTGCCAAGGTTGGAGACCCCTGCAATAGACTCTTAAAAGATGGTGATGGTGAGATGGTGATGATAGGGGCGGTGGTAATGATGATGAGAGGATGATGACAATGGCGCCTCCATCACTGAATCCCTAAGAATTCTTGGCAGTTTACAGAGAAGACACATCAGAAACAATATGCGTAATCATCACACATACGCATAACAGCCACGCATATGCACCGCTTTGACTTAATAGACAAAACACTGTAAAATAAAATTAACCAAACCAAACCCAAATGAAATAAAAGCCACAAACGCCTTCACAACAGCTCTCTTCAGTCTGGCAATTAGTTCTGAAGAGAGATCACTACTCGGCTTATAACCCTAGGGAGGAGAGGAAAGGAGGTAATAGTAAAGTTTCCCCTGTCCAGTTGCGTCCCACTCTAGGGTGAGGTGTTCCCCTATTTATATGCCGCCCGGAATCCTTCGGGGATTGGGCGGCATATAAATTTTGATAATAAATAAATATTTAGGTCTTAATAGTAACATGAGGCTGGCAGAAACCCATACGGTTTACTGTTGCTAACCCCTGCGTGAAGAAAGCGAAATAAATTCAAGCCGTCCGAGCTCCCATGAGCTACCTTGTAGTAGTCGTACAAGAGGCCCAATGCCGCTGCGCTGTCCTCGTCCCCGTTGATGCTCATCATAGCTTTGGTAGCTGCTGTAAGGGGGTTTTCAAGAAAGGACTTCCAGGCTTCATCCTCACTAGTGTATGGTCGCCTTTGGGAATAGAGGGTTTCATTCTGAAGAACCAAGACAGGCCTTTTGCTTGAAAAAGAAAGAGAGAGAGAGAGAGAAGAGAGAGAAGAGAGAGAAGAGAGAGAAGAGAGAGAGATTGAACAAAGTACAATTACAAAGAAGTTGAAAACAAACTTTGATTGGCATCCAGAAGGTAAAGCCCTTCCACCACCCATTAAAGTTGTGTGTGTCAGACAACAGTGCTCTTGTTGCCGGTTCCACCACAAATGCGCGAACAACAAAAGCGCGNCGCTTCAGAGACACGACTGCGCATGCTCAAGAAATCGGCAACTGTCACGTTTTAAACGCTAGGCCGGTTCTCCCTTTTTACGGCAGCCCCGCAACCCCCGACACTGACCAGACCATAGTTGATGTCCGGCCCTCGGCCACCGCTGCTCCGGGCTGCGTACTCCGCGTAGCGAAGAGACTCCGCGGAACTCCCGGCCTGCTCCATCGTAGTTAGCCCAAAGGGAGGAAAGGGGGGAAAAAACGACAGACCTACGGCAGAGCAGAAAGGACAAAACTAATGACCCTGCTAAAGTCTCGCTGCGGATTCGGGCGGTCTCTGCCTTGAAACGCGATTTTGTCCGATTACATCGCTCATGCGCAGTAGCAGCACGTGAAGCTCGACGTGACCTAGAATGCCAGGACTGTTGCCTTTCTTTATGACGTCTGATTTGTTTACATTCTATTTCCATTTAGATTAATTTAAATTAAATGGGTAATTTAATTGGTTTTAAGCCAATTAAATTGCCCATTGAAATTAATATAAATCACCAACACCAAATAAAAACACCAATTACATTAACAATCTTTCTTTTATTCCTATTCTTCTCTGTAATTTATTGTTTCAGCCCCTTTAAATGCAAATGAATGTTTTAAGACGCGTTTTGCCATCATTCTAATTCATTTTTGCTATCCATGCAATAAATTATAAATTGCAATAAAGTGTAACACAAGTATTTTATGTGCTCAACATACATTACTAATTATTACACGTATTTAACCCCTTATAAACCGCTTACATTTACATATATATTACATCATCTTTCAGTTCACAAATCCTTATTTTCCGCTGCCAACTTCCCTTCCCCAAATCCAACCATGGATAAAATCTATTCCAAATCTCATAGTTTTCTGTCTCTCCTTTATGTTTTAGTTCCATTGTCAGTCTATGACATTCTGCACAGTCTAATATTTTATTTTATTATTTCCTTTCTAGAGGTACGTTCTCACATTTCCAATGTTGGGCATGATAAACCATTCTCACTGCTATTGTGATATGTAATATTAAATATGTTAGCCCTTTACTTTGACCTTCTATTATAATTCCTAATAAGAATAGTTCTGGTTTAAATTCCCATCTCTGTCCAGTCATTTCTTCCAGCCACATCAAAATCCTCCGCCAGAAGTCTTTTTGCCCTTTCTACATGTCCACCATATGTGATAGTAGGTACACAGTAGTTGGCCACATTTCCAGCATTTAGGTGATAAAATTTTATACATTTTGCCTAGCCTAGCTGGTGGTAGATGCCACCTATAAAACATTTTTATAGCTGACATCTACCTTGTTCTCCCTGTATGGAGTGGCCAGGGTTAATTTCCTATTTCTTACCCACACTTTTTAGGAATATATTATTCTTGTTGTTAGATCGGGTAATGGAAAGGCACACACAGGTATAACGGTAACAACAGCTCTTTATTAATGTGGGAAGTTATCATCCAGCCCTCTCACAGAAAAATGAAATATCCTAGGAAATATTGAAAAGGCAGAATATTTCTCTGGATGTGAAAAGAAAGAAACA